CATTTCACACAGTCTGACCCAGGAAGAGAGAATGAGAAGTAGAATAGAGCAGATAATCTTTCCTTTGACAGTTAAAACCAGGAAAGACGTAAGAGACTCACCTGGAAGATACAAAGTACATCGGTCCTGGGAGCAGTACTGCTAACTCCAAGGATGGGAAAAAACATTAAAGGCTCAAAAAAAAAAAAAGATGCTTAGCTTAACACTCATGAAATGTCTTTAAAAGATTATCCAGTTGTAGCCCTTGGTTTCAGGTTTGTAAGCCAGTAGGTAACAGTTACATCTGTCTTTAAGCTTTTCTTCACAACCACAAAGGGTAGAGAGTTTGGGGTATTTTTTACTTTTTTAAAAAAAGCTAATATTATCCAAGGTCCTCACATGTTCATCTAAGTAATGAGTTGGGCTCATGCAGCTTAGCAGCTAGATGTGATAAATCATGCAAGTTGAGGGAAGGAGGAGGCTCAAGGAATTACAGCCCAGTCAGCCTGACCTCAAAACCTGAAAAGATCATGGAGCAGATCCTCAAAGAGTCTATTTTGAAGCACGTAGAGGAGAGCAAGGTGATCAGGAAGAACCAGCACAGATTCACCAAGGACAAGTCGAGAGCGCAGGAGCAAACCATCCCGATGGACAGGAAGACTAGCAACTACAGCAGAAGACCAGCTTGGCTTAGCGGGGAACACTTCAGTAAACTAAATCACAGTAAGGAAGCTTATAAGAAGTGGAAACTTGGACAAATAACTAGGGAAGAATATGAGAGCATTGCTTGGGCACACAGGGATGAAGTCAGGAAGGCCAAAGTGCAGTTGGAGTTGCAGCTAGCAAGAGATGTGAAAGAGAACAAGAAGGGTTTCCACAAGTACGTTGGTAGCAAGAGGAGGATCAGGGAAAGCGTGGGTTCCTTACTGAATGGGGGAGGCAACCTGATGACAGAGCATGTAGAAAAGGCTGAAGTGCTCAAGGCCTTTTTTGCCTCCATCTTCACAGACAAGGTCAGCTCCCAGACTACTGCAGCACAGTTTGGGGAGGAGGTGAGCAGCCCTCAGTGGTGAAAGAACAGGGCAGGGTCTATTTAGAAAAGCTGGACGCGTACAAGTCGATGGGGCCAGACGGGATGCACCCGAGGGGGCTGAGGGAATTGGCTGATGAGATTACAGAGCCATTGGCCATCATCTTTGAAAACTTGTGGTGATCAGGAGAGGTCTCAGATGATTGGAAAAGGGCAAACATAGTGCCCATCTGCAAGAAAGGGAAAAAAGAGATTCCAGGGAACTACAGACCAGTTAGCCTCACCCCAGTCTCTGGAAAAATCATGGAGCAGATCCTCAAGGAATCTATTTCTAAACACTTGGAGGAGGAGAAGCGATCAGGAACAGTCAGCATGGATTCACCAGGGGAAGTCATGCCTGACCAACCTGAAAGCCTTCTGTGATGAGGCTTTGTGGATAAAGGGAGACCAGTGGATGAGGTGTACCTGGATTTTAGCAAGGCTTTTGATACAGTCCCCCACAGCATTCTTGCAGGAAAGCTAAGGAAGTATGGGATGGATGAAAGGACTGTAAGGTGGATATAAAACTGGCTGGAGCATCAGGCTCAGGGAGTAGTAGTTAATGGGTCAATGTCTAGTTGGCAGCTGGTATCAAGTGGAGTGCCCCAGGTTTTATTCAATGTTTGCATCAGTGACCTGGAAAATGGGATGGATGCACCCTCAGCAAGTCTGCAGATGACACCAAGCTGGGGGGAGTAGTAGAAATGGTGGAGGGTAGAGCTAGGATTCAGATAGACCTGGACACATTGGAGAATTGGGCTAAAAGGAATCTCAGGAGGTTCAACAAGGACAAGTGCAAAGTCCTGCACTTAGGAGGGAGTAATCCCATGCACTGGTGTAGGCTGGGGGTGACTGGCTAAGCAGTAGCCCTGTGCAAGTAGGTGGCTATTTGATCCGGCTTTGGATCCGGCCGCTTTGGATGCCAGGGATCCGATCCGGAGCTCCTGACCAGGTTGCTGCTTTGATCCGGCCAAAGCAGCTCCGAAGCTTCAGAGCCACCTTGGAGATCTGGCCATCGGGTATAACAGGGAATCAATTAAATATCTATAACTGTTGTTTTTTGTCTGATTTGGATGACACCTGCAGGGATGGTAGCATCTGCTGGGAGCATGAAACCTGCCAAGTTTCAAAAAGATCAGTGCAGGGGTTTGGGGGAACTGTGCCCCAATTCCTGAAAGCAAAACTTATGTCACGTGTATGTGTTGAACCACAAGGGGGTGAAAACTGCAGGGGTGGTGGCCCCTGATGAGTTCACAACGCCTGCCAAGTTTCAAGGAGATAAGTGTAGGGGTTTGGAGAAAACTGCACCTCAAGCTGCTGACAGGCAAAACTCATGACATAGATGACCCTGTGTGTGCTAAGGCACAGCAGGGTGACAGCTGCAGGGATGGTGGCCCCTGCTGTGGCCACGATGCCTACAGCTGTTGAGGAGGTTGGTGCAGGGGGGTTCTGGGGCCCTGCACCCCTAGCTGCTGACAGGCAAAACTCGTGACATGGGTGCTTGTGCAACTGTGTCTGTCTTGGGGTACTGGAGGGGCGGGGACTACTGCAGGCCTGGCTGCTAAGCTACTGTGTTACCAGTTACCAATCAATCATGATTCACTCAGGG